TGTTTTTCTCGACTTTTTCTTCTTTGTAGACTTCACAGATTTAGCCTCATCAGCATCTATTTCACCATTGTCCTTCGCAACATCATGTTCAGCGGTTCTTTTATCATTCGTAAATTTCCCAATGTGATCTAAAGTTTTAGATTCCTGGAATACAGCAGGCAGGGTGGTCGTCAAATCAGTAACTTGTACATTATCCTCAGCTTGTATTTCATCTGCACCGTTAGGGGTTTYTGTTTTTCTCGACTTTTTCTTCTTTGTAGACTTCACAGATTTAGCCTCATCAGCATCTATTTGACCATTTTCCTTGGCAACATCATGTTCAGCGGTTCTTTTATCATCTGTAAATTTCCCAATGTGGTCCACAGTTTTGGATTCCTGGACCAAGGCAGGCAGGGTGGTCGCCAAATCAGCAACTTGTACATTATCCTCAGCTTGTATTTCAACTGCACCGTTAGCGGTTTTGGTTTCTCTCGACTTTTTCTTCTTCGTAGACTTCACAGATTTAGCCTCATCAGCATCTATTTCACCATTTCCCTTAGCAACATCATGTTCAGGGGTTCTTTTATCATCCGAGAATTTCCCAATGTGGTCTAAAGTTTTAGATTCCTGAACTAAGGCAGGCAGGGTGGTCGCCAAATCAGCAACTTGTACATTTTCCTCAGCTTGTATTTCATCTGCACCGTTAGGTGTGGTCCCTATACTTCCCACTTTATCAACAAATTTGTAACCCATCTCATTTTCTACAAAACAAATCACCAATTATGAGTTGATAGAAATTCCTTGTGACTTATGATTGTAGAGAAGAAATATAATCAAGCAAAAATCGAAATTACCATTTTGTATTGTTTCTACGAGAGTGACAGGGTTTTCTCCTCTCAAGTCAGGAAAAACTTCAGAAGTAGCATCAACATGATCTATGCTTCCAGATACCTTTTCCCTCTCATTAACAATTTCTCTTGAAATTGTAGTAGTAGTAGACTGGTTGACGTGATCCTTTGAGGACTTCTTTGGCCTTTTCTTCTTCTCTGTAACTGTACCGGTTGTCAAACCACTACTAACCCCCAACTGATTTTCCGGGTAGCTTACAATATTATCGGTTTGGATATAATCTGCAGCACTTGATATAGCTCTTCCGATTCCCACGTCATCATCAATCTTCTCACCCATCTCATTTTCTACACAAGCAAATATATCATATGAGTTAATAGAAAACTCAACCAAGAATCAGCAGTAACATTATGAGTTAATAAAAGAAACTCCCCGAGTATTGTAGAGGATAACAAAACTCAGTAAATAACTAAAATTACCTTTCTGTATTGCTTGTGCAAGAGGATTGCCAATATTTCCTCTTTCCGAGACTGCAAGAGATTCAAAAGTAGCATCAACACGATCCACATTTCCAGTATTTTCAAAAGTAGCTCCCGTAAGATCATCAATCTTTTCGCTTGGAACTTCTTTAAGAGTTTGACTAGCTTGCACATACTTCGCCTCATCCCTGGTATACCCTTCTACAAGCTCCGAATTATTTGTGATAGATTTCTCTTGGCATAGCATGTCTGCATCAGAAGATTGCTGATTCTCTCCCATACTAATGCCATTTTTCTCGCCGTTTTCAATGTCTACAGAACATCAGATATTATAAATGAACTGACACTATCTAATAACATCTGCTAATATTGCTTAATCAATAATAACATATTACCTTTGAGTAATGCACCTGCAAGAATATCATCTTCAAGCTGTACTTTCCCACCTAACTCATGACTCTCATCCACAACATCTCCTGAAGAAGTCGTAGCAACAGCAGATTGATCGAGATTAATTTTGGATTTCTTTCGGCTTTTTTTATCATCCAAACTTTCCATCTTCCTCTTCTTTGTTTTATTCTCAACAACTTTGGTTTCCAAACTTTCTCCGAGAGTTAGACCCTTGTTATGCTCATCTACAAGTACGGCTGAATCACTTGCAATCTCTGTTTGGTCAGCAGCCATTATAGCCATGAACTCACCACCCTTCTCAACTCTTGCCAAATCGGCATACAGAAACCAGTTTTTACTAGTGCATCCCTCAAAAACCTTGTTTATATTCACAGAATCAGGCAATCTAAAAAAGTTACCTCGGCATTTAACCTGATGATTATGTAAGACAAACCCACTCATTATTATTACATGTTGCAAATGAAACAAAACAAAACAAAAAAAGAAGCGTAAGAACAAAGGCAGCAAAATCCATACCTTCAACGAAGAAATATTAATTTCTCCAATTTCTGGGTAACATTCTTTATGTTCCCTGTAAAATTTGTCTATT